TTAACCCAATTTATGTGAGGTCAGATTTGATGATTGATCCCATGTTCCTGGGTGTTGGAGTAGAGTAAAAAGGACAGGCGAGTGATCAGATGAAAGATCCGAAAGGCATTCGGCGCATATAAGATTTTTAGGAATGTTTTTGGTAATCGCAAAGTCAATTAAATCGGGAAGTTTCTTTGGGTCTGCCGGCCAGTATGTTGGTGTGCCAGAAGAAGCATAGTCTAGCTTGTTCTTAGCTTTGATAATTGCATTATAGAGCTGCTTTCCTTTTGGGGTCACGAGACTAGATCCCCAGTGTGTGTGCTTGGCATTGTAGTCTCCTGCTGCTATGAAGTGGTCTCCGAGTGAGTTGAAAAACTGCATAAACTCATCTTCGGCTATGGTGAAGCGTGAGGGGCAGTAAACGGCAGCTAGAGTTAATTGCTTGCCAGTATTTAGGTGTATATTTATTGATGTGGCCTGTAGGTAGTTTTTTGCAAATTTCGTTTGATAATGGTGCTTAATACGGCTTCTGATTAAAATTCCAGTCCCGCCTTGTGCTTTACCATCTGGATGATTTGTTCCATCGAATGAATATCCTCGTAGTTGGAAATTGTATCTGTTCGTAAGATGTGTTTCTGAAAGCAGCATTACGTCGATTTGATTGTCTAGTAGGAATTGCGCTAACTCGAGTTTATGCTGCGAAACGCTGTTATCGTTCCACGTAGATATTCGTAGGGAAGTCATTATTTGGATTGTTGTGAAACCAGCATTTGTATTAATACAAGTAGATTTTGGTTTCGCATTAGATCTTGCATAGTTGTACGCATAAACGACATGAACTCCGTAAGGCTTTGTTGTAGACTGCATATCATAGCTTCAAAGTTACTTTTTGGCTGCTCCGGCGGTTGATGCTGCTGAGCCGTGTTCGGTTCTTGGAGTGCTGATTGCGGCAGTGAGCTTTTTGAGGCTGGGGTAGCCAGTCCTGATTTTAAAGCGCTTGCGTATGTGACATTTTTTGCAGAGTTTGTGGGTCCTAGTAAGGGTTTGACTTGGAGGCTATGAACTGATTATTTTGGGTGCGGGCACTAAATCCCCTCTGGTGGATGCGACTTTTCAGCTCCTTATAAACTGGGCAACCTCTATAGTTAGCAGTGTGATTTCCACCGCAGTTACCTCACTTTTTCGAGTTTTGGTCATATTTGCTCGCTGGGCAGTGTGCGGAGTCATGAAGCTCACCACAAACTACACAAACCGGGCGCAGTTTACAGTAAGACCTTGTATGGCCATATTCTTGGCAGTTCGCACATTGTACCGGGCCACTGCGTTTGTGCGGCTCCTCAACTGTAATTCTGCGGTGCAGCAGGAACTGAAGATTGTATATAGGGTGCACTTCGTATTTCTTTAGGGGCTTAATTTGTGGTTCGAGCTCAACCTTAAAGAGTGGCTGCGGCTTTCTATCCCTGTTTGGGACATTGAACACTGTCTTTGCGCTAAATCCCTTCTCTTGTAGCGCCTTTGTTATCTCTGCAGGCGATACTTCGGGCTCTATGCCCTTAAGTACGACTTGCAAGCCCTTGCTGCTTTTTAGCTGATACGTTCTTTTCTGATAAAGTTCTTTTTTTTGTCGGTGAGGTATTTCGATAATACTCTGTAATTGTCTTCAGACTTCGTTTGAACTTTTGTTTCCTGGATGTTGCCCTTTACGAGTGGTATTATGTGGAAGTTGTCCTTGCCAATGAGCTCTATAATTTTGTTGACAAGAACGTTGGAACTTTTTTCTCGTACGTAAATTGGCGGGGGCTTAGGCTTCCTTTTTTCGACTTCTGTAGATTTTGATTTGGATGTAGCGATCCATACCAGTCTGCACAGCCGGCAAATTATTTTCTTTGTTTTTGTTCTCTTTTTCGGGCAGCGCAGCGGCAGAAGTATTAATGTTTGTGCTGCTAGCTGATGACGTCGTTAAACGCGCTGTCGTTACAGTAGCGGTTGTTGTTGTTGTTACGGTTGACGTTGTCAAAGAGGTTGCGGTGCTAGTTACTGCGCTCTTTGGCTGCAGAGACATCGATGGTAGCAAAGGGGAGCAAGAACGCGATCCCTCGCTCTCTACGTTTAAGAATTCGGCCAAGTTTGGGGTAATTGACCGTGTTTGGGATGAGTTTGCATCACTTTCGGTTGCTTTGAAAGTGAAGTAAGCGTTGTTTCTTTGTACTGAGAGCCGTCTCTCGTCTTGCTCACGTTGAAGTTGTCTGCGAACGTCGTTTAGACTCATTGCAATCAAGGTTGAGTTTGTTCGAGTTTTAAATGTTATATTTTATAATAATTAATTAATTAATCAATATAAACATTAGCGATTTCATCGATGAAAGCGTCTTTTCGCGTTGTTGTTGATTTACGAAACCAGTCACTGCACTTTTTTGATATTATTGGATACTTTTTTTTTTCCCGGAGCACAGTAAATACACGTCTGCATGCGACGACAATTCAACAGCGACTTATTTTACTTATATGAATGTAAAAATATTTTCAATATTTATTAACAAATAAATTTCTAGCACAATTTTGCCGCTAAAAAAATGTTGTAAAATAATTTAATTTGGAAAAACTTAAGAAAACTAAACAAAAAACACTAAGAAAATAATAATAATATTTAAAAACCATAAGTAAAAATACACTTTCATCATAATTCACCTTTCGGTCAATTCCCTCATTATTGAGGAAGTATTTAAGAAGCGTTTTGCTCAACAAAAGAAAATAAATGAATGCATAGAGTGTGTTAAAAACCATTTGAGTCATTCGGCTGCATTCCCCATTCCAAAATCACTCTTTTTACTTCCCACTCCAACTCACTCGGTTTCAAAGCAAGAGAGTCGTCATTGTTAACGAATTCGTCGTATTTGATTGGATTTGATATTAATTTAAAGTTTTTTTAATTTGAATTGTATTTTGTAGTTGAATTGTTAGTATTTAAATATAGTCTACGATAGCTTAGGAGGAGTGGGAGCGAAAGCTCATATTCGCTCTTGTGCGAATACGCCCCGCTTCGGCGAAATAGATAAGTTAGGCTTAGGATTAGAGAAATATAGATCGAATTATAACGTTGACGTTATAATATATGACGTTGGCCACATCTTTTTCGTTTTGCTTTCGTCATTTTTTATATAGTTAGCAGCCACTATTATTTTTTTTATATTTTATCGTGAGAGATAAACTAATCTCATTCAACAGTCATTAAAACTTCACAAGCCAGTCGTCTCAAGCCAGTAAAGCAACAATGTTAAATGTATAAAGTGGGGATAAAAAAAAAAAATAACTACAGCCAAATCGAATCAAGCTATAATGTCACATTACAGTTCTATACTAAACACAGGAGAACCAACATATCGGAACCAAAATAACATTCCATGAAAAAACTACCATAAAAAATAACTATACATCACTAACATCACTTATAACATCACTATACAATTGAATGACGAAGTAGAATACATTTCATGACAACTTACAAAAAAACACGGTAGCCTCTAGTAAGAAAGAAAGTACACCCAAAACATGAAGCTTCCAGACCTAGAAAGTTTTAAAATTTATACAAACCACATTATAATGAACCTTAAAATTAATTGGAAACATACCAAAACTGGAACCGTAAAAAAGTTCATTCGGCCTTTTTTTGACACATCTTCACCCTTTTTGGCAGGAGCCATCTATTAATCTAGTGTTCTCTATCTGCGCAAGCATTAAACATGATTTAAAATGACAATTCCAAAGATTCAGATTCAGGATCAAGATAGAAGGATCGGACCCATAGAAATACGAGAGAAACAGCATTGTTTGAAACAGGTGCTCTGCAGCCCAACATAAATAGCCATAAGAGGAGCGTCTATCGCATTCAAGAAAGAATCACGAAATATTTCAGAGTGCAGTGCGTTGATAAGTAGTTTTAAGTTAATTTAAAATATTGATGATTTTTCTTAACAGATAATTAAATGGATTGAACTCAGTTTCAGAACGAAACTCCTTGGTAATACCAGCATTGTTTTAAGGTTCCTTTAAAAATATCCAAAAATTGTGCGAATTTTACGGGCCTATCTTTCCTCCAGCATCTTCGGCTCACAAGATTCGCTTCACCATTTACCACTTCATGCCAAAAACAAAATTGTTGATCCCAATGAATCTCCATTTTTATAAAAAAAAAACAAGAAAGGAAAGATAACTTCGGACGGAGCCGATACCCTTGCAGCTAAAACCGGAAATATCGCAAACATCGGATATAGTTGGCCGATCCTTATAAGAATATCATAATAAAACCTATTAATTACAATTTAATATCTATAAAAAAGTCCCAATCTTCTATCTTCAAAAATGCCAACATTGGTATTTTTACCAAATACCATTTCCGATCGTTCAGTTATATGGCAGCTATACGATATAGCCGGACGTTCCTTATTAAATTTGGTAGCTTGGATCAACTGACCAAAAATAAAATCTGTACTAAGTTCCAGCTTTCTATCTTCAAAAACACGAAAGTTGGGTCATTTCCGATCGTTCAGTTATATGGCAGCTATAGGATATAGTCGACCGATCCTTACGAAATTTAGCATGTCGTATTTTTTTGCCAAAAATAGTTTTTTTGTAAAATTTAAGCTGTCCAACTCTAAAGACACCGAAGTTATTCCATTTTCGATCAATCAGTTATAAGGCAGCTATAGGATATAGTCGGCCAATCCCGGTCGTTCCGACTTATATACTGCGTGCAAAGGAAAGAAGGGTGTGTGCAAAGTTTCAAGTCGATGGCATTAAAACTGAAAGACTAGTTCGCGTAGAAACAGACAGACAGACGGACAGACAGACGGACATGCTCATATCAACTCAGGATGTGATCCTGATCAAGAATATATATACTTTATAGGGTCGGAGATTTCTCCTTCATTGCGTTGCACACTTTGACCAAAATTATAATACCCTCTGCAAGGGTATAAAAATATCAAAATGTATTTGTTTGGATAAAGAAAAAAATGTACCTGATTTATATGATCATCAACAATGCTTTTATAGGCTTCTTCAGCTAACGCAAAAACATGCGGCTTTAAAACCCCGAAATTGGATCCATGGTATTTTTTTACATATTCCTGAAATGAAATAAATTATTACCATTTTATTTATTTACAAAAAAATAAAATTATTTTTAATAACTAAAACAACATTTTTGTTGATATGATTTCAATAAATTTTGTCGACGAAAAAAATATATCCTACAATTTTTTATATTATTAATATTCTTGAATATTTTTAATGCACCCGTCTATAATAGAATTTTTTTGAGGAATGAAATAATTTATAAAATTCTCATCAGATATGGAACTCTTAACTAATAATTAAAGAGATGATGATGATACTGCAGACTCAATTGTGAAATTAATTATTGCCAAATTAATAAACTAATTGAACGAGATTGGACTGACCGGATAATTGATGTTTACTTTAAGTAACGCTCTGTTTGAAATTTTTAAAACTGAGAGACTATAGACAGTGTATATATAAAGACAGAAATGCCTATATAGACTCAGGAAATTTTCCTGATCAAGAATCAAAAATAGGGTCAGAGATTTTGTCCCAAGAGTTTACTCAGGGTACATGACGACCTTCACACTATGGGGCCAAGAAAAATCTTTCTTGGACTTAAAACAGTAAAGCGATAAACATTTTTCAATAGATTTGATTAGGGTTATATTGCTTAAAATCATACATGGATATGATTTTAATGAATTAGTATGTGTAAAGAATAGCCCAGCAGTTCGGCTGGTGGCAATAGTTCTTTTTGGGTATGGATTCGGGTACTCTTTTGTGGGTACCCATATCGCTTACTGTATAGCGGCTTGGGTATTCTCTGCTTCATGTTTTTTTCTATAACGATGCGAGTATATACTTTGGTACTCCCTCTGGATACGACGGTCGGACCACCACAAAGCGCAAACGATATTTTTCTTTTAAAGGAAATGACCGCTTAAAAAGTGGACATGCAGTAAATTGTTTGTTTTTGATGCTAGAAGGAGTTTAACAGATGCGAGTATATCCTTTGGTACTCCTTTTGGGTACGACGGTCGGACCACCACAAAGCGCAAACGAAAATGTTCTCTTTTTTTATTTTTGCTTCAGTATAACTTGAGCATATTTGGTGACGCGACGTAAAAGTGTGGTAAATAATAAAAAAAATAATAAAAACACTGAATAAATACTAAAAACAGTGACAGTGAATCAGTGATAAAAAAAGGGATAAAAAAGGTAATAATTATAATTATGGTTTGCAAAAGAGAGGAAGAATTTATTTTTAGGCGTCAATTATAAGGCATTTGTTGCAGCCCTGGTAAAGTTGCCAGAAATTTAAAAAATATACTAAGCGATTCCTTAATGATGGAGTATAACGTCATTAAAAACAGCGCGAAATGTTTATTTAGCACTACTTGGTAAGAATTTAAAAAAAATATTGGTTTTAATTTTAATAATGATTTTTTTTATAATATTAGATGCAATTACTGCTGATGGCGGCAATGGAAATATGCCTCAAACAACAACAACAACGACAACAATAGCAACAACAACACATAATTTTTGCACACGTAACACAAGTATGAAATGGTGTAATTCTGTGAATTTATAATATGTAAAATAATTTTATAAATTTTTAAAAATGAATTAAATGTATTTCTATTATATTAAATAATTTTATATATATTTAAAAACAAAAATTTATAAGAAAAAAAAATCTTTTTCTGGGTATGTAAATCGATGTCCCTTGGTAGATACCCAAGTGGCTATACTGTATAGAGTACTAAATTCCGTACCTAAATCGATGTCCCTTAGTAGTATGTATTTGGGTACTCTTTTTGAGTACCCCAATTCGATACTCATTGGTATACGAAGAGGTGACGATTGTACACTGTCTATGGCATGCCTTAGTTAAATTCGCCTCTGAAATACATGTCTTAGGTATTGACTGGTGGGTACTCGTCTACCCTAGAGGCATAGTGAATTCGACACCCATGCACTAGTCCGGCGAACTGCTGGGAGCAGTAGGCTGCGACCATGACCCTTAAACTGTGTGTGTGCGACACACGAACTTATTCGATATATAATGTTTATTGGCGACAAGAGAGAAATGCTTTAAAGTTCGGAGTTAAGTTATTGCGAACTTATTGCGGAGTTAGCGAATTGCACAAAAAAAAGAAATACAAAGATCTAAGAATGTAAAGTTGAATAAGGGCAATATATCATCACGCGATTTCAGGAAATACACAAACATGTATCGCGTATAACCGTCAATGAATGGGACGCCTTATTCATTGGTCCGCCTATGTCCGAATAAACGATATCGAATATTTTATTCGCACGATTTTCTGGCGCCTTCGGGAACGATTTTAAACAGATTTTACTTTTGCGCATATTTCACAGGCGATATCTGACGCGCTGTCAATGTTTTTAATTGACGCTTGCTATATTTAAATGGCCATAACGGTAGATAATACACTATAAACTTATTGACCCATCGTCCATCACAAAAAGCTTTTTCTTTTTAGAGCTTTTAGAACAATCGCATTTTTATAGTCATATTCATAGTCACAGTATACATAGTATAGTCATAGAATAAAGCGTTCTTTCTGGAAAAACCACTTTATAGCCGGTCGCGACGGCCCTTGATACATTAAAATTGATCTTACGAAGAATCAATTGATCTTACGAAGACGGCCCTTGATACATTAAAATTGATCTTACGAAGAATCAATTTTAGAATTGATACGCCCTGTGCCAATCCAATACAATCAAAAAAACAATATTTTACCAGCGAGTAAAAAGTTTTGTGATGTGTAAGTTTTTGTTGAAAGTTTTTTGCTTGTTGAACGCACATTTCTGTAACCGCAAAACTTGAAATCTCTCCCTCTTCAATAATCTTTATTTTAAAATTAGAAAAGAACGGTAAGTGATCATCAGAACTGTCAGTAGCATAACTGTAAGATTTCAACCTCCCTTAGCTTTTCTTCGATCTCCATAAACGTATTTACATATAAACTCTTGGGGTCCAGACGTTTCTATTAAGCTTAATTAGGGTAAACGTTTGAACAGAGTCAACTTGCAAGCGGGACCTTGTGACGGTGGGGGAGATAGAGATATTGGGAGTTAATTAGGCGCGTCTATGGAAAATAACTAACTATGAACAGACCAAGTTTGAGTTATGCCTTATGCCAATTTCAAACTATCAGGTCTACATCCCATCGAAGGAGAAATGAACTGCTCAAATCCCGGGACCAGCGGGTTCCTTTTATATATGCACGAAGGTGGGTAAAGGTGCCAGGTGGGAGGCGGTTTCCACTGCGAGCGTCTTTGTCCAAATGAGTCCTTCAGACTTCCCGAAAACTGTAGTGTGTTCCAATCTGAATCAATAGCTATCATGGAAGCACTTAGATCTCCTGCACTTTCTGGCCCCCAAGAAACTATTTGTATCTTCTCACGGCTCTTGACGGATTTTCATCTAACTCTAGGACAGTGAATGACTTTTGGACATTTATGAACGAGATACATGACATTCCTGTTATATGGGTTCCCGGATATAGGGACCATGAGGGAAAGACTCGCCCGAGTCTTCGGAGTCTTCCGAAGCTTCCTAAAAAGACTCGCCCGATTCGCTCCAATGGGCCTCTTTTTATACTGACTGGAGCGCCAGTTAATCCTCCTGGATTCTGCTCTTGCCGTTAGTCCTGCTTCCAGAATCACGCCACTTTCCTGTTGGCGGGTTGCCGTCTGTGCCTCTTCACCTCTCCCGGCCACGGACCTCTCCTATTGCTATGCGGACTTTCAGGGCCCGCTACACTTGCCAAAATCCACCTGCGCGGCGTGCTGATTAACCCCCACCCCCTACCTTTGACTACCTTTCCATAGTCTTACTGCTGCTCCGGGAACCGTTACGTTCCACGTCGGTTCCGTCTTCCCACGGGCGGCCGGAACTCGTTACGTTCCACGTGGTTCGCCCCTAAGCGCCCCCTTCACTCTTTGACCCAAATCAACTGACCTTCACATTCACATCATACCACAGCCACCACGATACTTCCACAAGGGGGCCTACCTCAATGGTAGAGCTTGGACACTGTCCAACCCGTGGCACCGAAGTTTGTGGGCTCGGTAAGAGGGAGCAGACAAGTCACCTCCTGGCTACAACTTGCCGCGTCGTAAGGAAAAACCACACCCAGGCACCAAATAGTGCGCAGGGCACCATGAGTCCGGCATAAATGGTCCGCCTGGCGCGGGGACTAAAACCATAGTCAGCACGCAGCACACACACCAATGCTCCCACGACTCCGGCCACTCGCTGACGCAGCGATGCGATATGCATGATCAAGTTCATGGGTTCCTTGACCGTGATACCAAGACCTGCTTCTGCAGATCTCACACACGGAGCGCGAGGGTTCCAGCAGCATTATCACAGCATGGCACAGCAACATGGACATTAGTGGCGCTCCTTTTCTTCCAGCACGCCTCAGGATTTGCCCTCGACAAGGTCATCTGGCCATCCGCATACGCGCTAAGAGCTCAGTATGGCTGGAGGCGCCGCAGCAGATCCCAAATATATGGGCCACTAATGGATCGCTGCGGGCATCATCCCAAGTCGGTGATTCGACGCAGAGCAGCACTCCATTCGACATTGTCGAACGCTCCTTTAAAATCTACGCAGATTCCGAGTACGTATCTCCGGGGAGGAATCCGAACTTCCATCTGCATCCTTAAGGAAAAACTTCCTTCCGATCCTTATGAGAATATCATAATACAACCAATATATTTCAATAAAAAATCTAACAACAGGAACCAAGCTTTTATCTTTAAAAATAACAAAGTTGTTCTTTTCACCAATTGCTACTCCCAATCGTTCAGGTATATGGCCGCTATAAGATAGAGTCGACCGATCCTTATGAAATTTGGTAAGTCACATTAACTCTCTATGTCTAAAAACACCAAAGTACCATTTCCGACCAATCAGCTTTATGGCAGCTATGAGTTATAGTCGGCCGATCCTTATGAAATAAGGTAAGTCATATTAACTCTCTTAGTCTAAGAACACCAAAATACCATTTCCGATCAATCT